TGCAATTACATTTTGATTTTAACATGGACTTTTGCTGCGTATGGCACCCCATAGGAACCCAGTCTAAATAACCACATTGCCATATGCCAATGCATGTGAAAAGACTGTTGTGCTATGTTATTTGTGACAGAAATAGACTTTGATTAATTTTTAGAGTTTTGACTCTAATGACCCCTATGTAACATTTAACCCTGAGCTGTGAAAACCCCGTGTATGGGAGGTGTTCGACCAAGTTTGATTGACATCGGCCCAATCGTTTGCCACTTATAGCGTATTGAAATGTTAATAGAAAGAAAGAATAATGACCCCCTTAATGACATTTGATCCCAAATCCATGAACGCCATAAAGACGCTGCCTTATGCCAATCACTGATCTCTATTATAATAACTGGACTGCTCATTGGCTGGTTTTAGTGAAGCCAAAAACGCCTGGATTACGTCACTAAAAAACTTTTTAAAAAAAATAACAACGCAATGTTCGCTGGCGCTTTTAAAATGCAGAAACAGGCGGGTATGGGATTCGACACCGGTTCTACTTACTAAGTTTGGTTTAGAACAAGAATGAGAAGAAAAATAATAATACTAAGAAAACAGTACCCAGTCGCCTGCAGCTGACTAGGTGAAACCAGACAAAAGTATCATTGTCAATTGAAATATATGTTGTGTAAAATAATGTTGTGTACGTACAGCAATATATATATATATCTTAAAATAAAGTCTTATTGCTTATTGTTTTATAATTTTGTGTAAAGTGTTTAGGCGCACTATGCAATGCGCTATATAATTGTAAATTATTATATTATTATTGCAGACTCACCATGGGGGCAGTCAATTTCATCTGATCCATCGTTGCAATCGTTAGCACCATCACACTTCCACATCCAAGGTATGCATTTTAGCTCATTTGTATTGCAAGTATATTGGTATTTATTACAACTACCTGTGGTTATTTTAAATTAAAAAGTGACCTAAGTATTTTAACTTATTGTGCATAAGGATTAGCATAGTAGTAATCATATGTAAGCCTAGGTTGCTTAAAAATCAAAATAACAACGTAAAAGTACAGACATATATTTTTCTTTCATATATTAACAAGGTAACAGTGTATCGATAATCTGGCATAACATAAAAATAGTATAAGTGTAATCTTTCCCTACCTGACGTGGAAATGTACGGTACTGAATACTCAGTACGATTGAAAACAATTGCGAAAAAATAAAATCGCAAGTTGTTCTCGGGTGGGACTCGAACCCACGATCTCCAGATCACTAGCATGGCATCATACCTTTAGCCCACCGAGCTTGCGCCTGATGGCCAAGGTTGAATTCGAGTCCAAGTAAGAAGCGGGTAAAACAGTGTTGATAGTAATTGTTATAGACAATTACTATAAAAATAGTAATGAAGATTCATACTATTATAAGGTTATACTATACAGTATTAATTTTATCAATTTATTAACGTTTGCTAAACTGTAAAATAATTACATGTGTGAATTTACGATTATTTCAACATCACTCAATATTTACACAGCCTACCGGTATCTACACAACGTAACTGAAGATGTACTTATACATACCAGTTTCTTCATCATCCGGTCCTTGTGTCGTAAACTCTGTAATTATAAATTTTAAAAAATCAATTCAAATATATTTCTGGATAAATTAAGAAAGTGATGGGGCGAGTAGAACCGTCGGCATTATCTATTATTGGTTCCTATGGTGCAAAAAAAATACAAACGGTACAGGTTCAAATCGCTGTGACGGGTTCGGTACAAACGGTTGTGTTTCGCAAGGAGCTTCGTAGGCTTGATTTACTTGGTGTCGCTTCTGCCTCTCGCCGTTAAATCTTTGTCACTCCAGCTAACACGTTTGAGGCATAAGGGCACTTCCTACCTAAATATGCAACCTGTTTGCATTCTTGAACTTTTAATCATTGAACGATATTTTATCTATTAGTTGCTTGCGTTTATTTCTTTCTGAATGTTTTTTTATTATTATTATTATTTAATGCTTTTCTCCGAGTTTTCGACGATTTGTGTTGTACATCATCATTTTACGGCTTAGCAGTCATAAAGTGTTTGCCACGTCGACGTCGGTAACTGGTTGAAAGTTCTGGCAGGCTGTTCAAAAATGACATTTTAATTGGAGTACTGCACATATACGTCTATAAGCCTACTAACTCGTATAAAAATTGCAACCAAAGTTGCAAACTTTCTGCGCCAACAATATATATGTTAAATATGGCCGACTGCTGCCATTATCCTGGTGTACTTTGAATCTACCCGACTCCATTCATCAAACAACATTACGAAAGCATCATCCAAATTCCGACAGTTACCTTATAAGGGAGGAGTGTTAAGGAGATGGGAAGAGGTCAGGATATGTATAATGTTGGGGTGGGGACTGAAGTTTGGATAGGGGATTTTCGAAGGGTTTGCGTTCGGTAAGAGGGTTTTAAGCAGTATCAGAGCAGTTTGTGAAAATCCAGTTGGCGGAACTCAGTTTTCCAAATTTAACGGCCACTTTGCTGAAACTTACTTTGCCGAATCCATTTCACTGAAATTATGGCAACCCAGTTCGCCGAAACCCAGTTTGCCGAATAGTGCCTTCACCGTCGTACGAAAGTATGGCATACTGTGCTTTTAAAAACATCCCATTATTAATCAATGTTTGATTTTCGATGAAAGAGAAAAATAATCATTATACTATAACAAGCAGCCATTTGATATAGGCCTAGCCTACAAATGACAGTGATCGCATCGCGTTGGATGGCTTCTAAAATTTCAATTCCGCTAGCTCCACCCACCACTTCCTACAGACACAGTCAACGGTATATATGAGAGTGCTCCATCGTGAATTACATGCTGTTCGAAATGTTTAACAGTTTTTGATGGACTTTCGGCGAACTGGGTTTCGGCACACTGAGTTTCGGCAAACTGGGTTTCGGCAAAATGGGATCCATGGTTTTTAAGTCGACAAATTGGCATTCGGCAAACTCGATTTTTGCAAATTGGACTCGTCAATCTAGGATTCGGCAAAATGGGTTTCAACAATATATTTCTGTGAGACATACCATTACTTCGTATGGCCCTATTGAGAGGGCTTCCTTAAATTATTTCTAGTTGCATAACTGACAACCAACTCTCTACAACTTTGTAAAACGGTCGCGCTCAACATGTATGGAACGTCAGTAGTGCTCTACCGATTGATTGGGATACGATATACTGGACCAAGCGTTCATATCCATTGATATCGTATTCGTCAATATGTTTTCCTTCTTTATATTGCTGTAATGAAGATATTTATTCTGTTTTATTTGATTAAATGTTTCGAAATCACTAATAAATTCCAATATGTGTTCACATCGTACTCGTCAGTCTATTTTCAGATCAAATGTTATGTTGACAAACATTTTTCTACGGGAATTACATATGAAATACATACGTACAGAATTTATGTATAATTAAATTTTTATTTTATATTTCTTTCAGGACACAAATAGTTTCAAACATTGGATCTGTCAATACTAAATTTACTATGTAATAACTATGAAAGAACGTGGAAGACATACGGTAGGTCTATCACATACAAACAAAAAGGGTAAACGATATACTGTAATAGTCACTGCAAAAAGAACCAAATGGAGATGGGCCGGGCATCTTGCAAGGAGAAAGGACGATAGATGTAGTCGATTAACAAATGAATGGCAACCACTATGGCAAAAGAAAAAGGGGAAGACTAAAAACCTTTTGGCGAGATAAGCTGGTACTCAGTCTGTACAGTCAACAGGATCAACAGCATGGACACGTTATACCACAGACAGAAACAGATGGCGTGATTTGGGATATGCCTTTGCCCAGCAGTGGGATTAGATGTAAACAGCTAGTGTGGACCCTAGTGTCATTTCGCGAGATAGGCTTGCCCAAAGCAATTTTATTGCATTTTCTGGATATTTTGGGTATGGTGAATCAAAAAATGCAAGGGTCCATTTTTTCCGAGATTGCCTTGGCAGCCATTTTGGAATTTCAAAATGGCCGCCATTTTCACATTAAAAATAACAACAACTGTGCCATTAGAGCAAATATCAACATCATTTTGGCAACAAACCCTATATTTTCAATGTCAACCTGTCCAATGGTGATATTCTCACTGATCTTAAATGGCGGCCATCTTGAATTTCAAAATGGCTGCCGTT